TTGAACACAGTGCCGAATAGAGCAAGACAATTACCTCCCATGTCTTACATACCACACTTCTGTTGATACACCCCAGAATATTAGGCTTTTTGCAACTGCATCATACCATTTGTGATCCACTAGAACTCCCAGATCCTTCTCAGCAGTTCTACTGCCTAGCCAATTATTCCTCATTTTGTAATTGTGCATTATGTTATCTTTCTTCTTAAGTGTAAAGTAGTTCTTCACTTATCTTCATTGACTTTCATCTTGTTGAATTCAGACCAATTTTCCAATTTGTTAAGATTGTTTTGAATTTTAATTCTGTTCTCCGAAGTGCTTGCAAGTCCTCCCAGCTTGATGTCAGCTGCAGATTTTTATAAGCCTACTATCCACTCCACTATCCAAATCATTCATGAAAATATTGAATAGTGCCAGACCCAGGACTGACTGCTGTAGAACCCCACTAGATATGTCCTCCCAATTTGAGAGCAAACCATTGATAACTACTCTGTGAGTACAGTCTTTCAACAAGTTATGCACCCACTCCTATAGTCATTTCACATTTCCCTACTTTGCTTATGAGTATGTCATGTGGTACTGTGTCAAAAGCCTTAGTAAAATCAAGATATTTCATGTATATGGCTCCTCCTAATCCACTAAACTAGTAACCTTGTCAAAGAAGGAAATTAGACTGGTGTGGCATGATTTGTTCTTGACATTCATGCTGGCTATTCCTTTAACCCTATTATCTCGTAAGTGTTTACAAACTGTTTGTTTACTAAGTTATGCCTGTATCTTTTCAAGTATCAAATTTGGACTGACTGGTCTATAGTTCTGGGGGTGTTGTTTCTTCCCCCTTTTTTAAGGTAGGTACTATCTTTGCCCTTATCCAGTCCTTTAGATCCTCAAGCATCCTCCATGAATTCTTTAAGATAATTGCTAGCAGTTCCGAGATTGCTTCACCTACTTCCTAAGTATCCTAGGATGAATTTCATCAGGCTCTGATGACTTCAATAAATCTAAGTTATCTAAATATTCTTTCACCCATTCTTTCCCTCTTTTGGCTTGTGTTCCTTCCCACTTGATATTAATATTAATTGTGTTGAGTATCTGGTTACCATTAATTTTTTGTAAAGACTGAAGCAAAATAGGCATTAAACACCACAGCCATCTTGATGTCATCAGTTATTAGCTCTCCTTCTCTGCTAAGTTAGAGGACCTACACTTTCCTTTTTCTTTCTCTTGGTTCTAATGTATTTATAGAACCTCTTCTGATTGCTTTTTATTTCCCTTGCTAACTGTAACTCATTTTGTACCTTAGCCCCTTTGATTTTGACCCTACATGCTTTTGCTATTCTTTTGTACCCTCTTTAGCATCTGTACATGTTTCCACTTTTTGTAGGATTCCTTTTTGATTTTCAAGTCATTAAAGAGCTCCTGATGGAGCCATATTGGTCTCTTACTATTCTTCCTATCTTTTCTTTGCATTGGGATATTTGGCAGTTGTACCTGTAACATTGTCTCCTTGAGAAACTGCCAGCTGTCCTGAATTCCTATCTCCCTTAGATTTTTTGTCCCATGGGAACTTACCTACCAGTTCTCTGAGTCTGTCAAAGTCAGCTTTTTTGAAGCTCATTATCCTTATTCTGCTGCTCTCAATCCTTTCTTTTCTTAGAATGATGAGATCTGTGATTTCATGATCACTTTCACCCAATCTGCCTTCGACCTTCTCAGTGGTTTGAGCATTGGCCTGCTAAACCCAGGGTTATGAGTTCAATCCTTGAGGGGGCCATTTAGGGATCGGGGCAAAAATGTGTCTGGGGATTGGTCCTGCTTTGAGCATTTGGACTAGATGACCTCCTGAGGTCCCTTCCAACCCTGATATTCTATGATTCTGTGATTCAGATTTGCAGCTAATTCCTCTCTGTTGGGCAGAATCAAGTCTCAAATGGCTGTCCCCCTGGTTACTTCCTCCACTTCCTGAAACAAAAAAATTGTCTCATTATAGTCCAAGAACTCACTGGAAATGTTGTGATTTGCTGTACTATTTTTTCCAGTAGATATCTGGGCAGCATAACTTCCTGTTACTACCAGGTCATGTATGTGAATATTTCTGTTCTAGAAATGCCTCATTCATCTGTTCTGATTTCGTGGTCTATAGTAGACCCCCTTTTTTATAGTAGATCCTCCTTTCTCCCCCTCCCCATCTGTCCTTCCTGGATGAGCTATACCACTCTATGCCAAGGTGCACTTGGAAGAAAGAAAATTAGGGGGCAAAACTTTATATATTTGGTTTTTATCATGGGACGTTTGGGCTTGGTGGGCTATTGTGGTTACTCCTCTGATTTTGAACCGAATATAGTCTGAATGTGTAAAGTGTGGTGCCTAGCCTTTCTTGCATTCTCTGTGGATGGTTTCATTTATTTTTTATTTCTGTACTACATTCTTCACAACTCGCTCTAGTGAGTCCAAAAAGCCATACTTAATCTACACTTGTGCAGTTGGGTGCACAAAGGAAGTGTCTTGTTGGTTTTTCTGAGTCTCTCTGTGGGTTCAGTGAGGATGCCTGCCTTGTTTAGCACTCTAGCATTAGTTGTATTGTCTTCTAGGTCAGTGGTAGTCAACCTTTAGCAGCTGGAGAGTCACTTCAGATTGAATTTTAAAAAGATTTGAGATGCACATGCTCACACATGAACACTCTCAACAGGTAACATCCAAGTGCATGAAATCTATTGCATACCTCAATAAAAGCAGAAAAAATAAACCTGGGAGCATCTCTTTAAGTGTATATTTTCAACCTAATTAGAAGCAACAGATTACATAATGAAAATAGACATGCCTGTTTTAAAAAATAGGCGAAGCACTGTCATACTTTGGGCTGGTCTACACTGGGGGGGGGGGGGGGGGAGGGGGGAATAC